AGGCTTTTAAGACCCCAGACACTACTCACCAAGGTAGAATGTAGAGCATTGTCTTTATAAGCTGTGTCATGCCAATTGAGCTAGATGTTCCCCGAGACCATGGTCCTGTGGGAATCACTTTTGTCAGCTGCAGACTTCTGAGCATGCTACCACTTTCACCCCAGAGACAGCAACAAGCAGAGCTCCCAAGTGGGGCTGAGTGCTCACTGCTCTGGCACATGCACCTCAGAGAAGCACTTTCCTGGGGTGATGGGGAATTGGGATGTCTTGAGAGGCACTGTATCAGGAAGTTGGACTGTGGGCAATAGCCAGATGGAGTGAAATAGGATGAACCAGGGAGGGAGAGCCAAGTGGGATGTGGCAGATGGAGAAACAAGTGATAACCAAAAATTCAGAGCACTTCGGAGCACCCATCTGAGGTGATGAATCCAGATTTGGATCTATTGTGATGAAGTCATGGTGTAGACAGAATCTTGTCCCCCATGACCTTTGCCCTCTGGTATCATGCCTGTGGTTATGTTACATGATATGGCAAAAAGGACTTTGCAGATTACTAATCAGTTGATTTTTATCCTAGGGTAAAATCACCCCAAAGTTATAGTAAAGCAAAAAGAAAGATTTTATTTGGCATATGTTCCAAGAGGCAAAAGTGCGAAATGGACAAGCATGCTGCCAGAGCTATGTCTGCCAGAGTCCGAGGGACGTTACAGAATCATCAGTATATATTAACGTTACAAATGAGTAAAATCATTGAAAGCCTCACCTTTTCACAGATTGGCTAAAAACTGGTAAATCACCCTGATTCTATGTTTTGAATTGTTTTTAATAATCATTGGTACAAGTTTCAGTAACGACAGGAGGGTCTTCATTGGTCCAACAAATCTTACAATTTACTAAATGCTAATAGAAAAAGATAAGAGTAGAAAATATATAGGTCTTTTGTGCTGTGTTTATGATTTGTTTATATGAAAGTTTTCCTAAAATATGTTTTCCACAACCATGATTCTGAACCATCTTACAGCATGGAGGAATCTGGAAGGCATTATGCTGAGTGAAATTAGTCACAAAAGGACAAATATTGTGTAAGACCACTATTATAAGAACTCAAGAAAAGATTTAAACACAGAAGAAAACATTCTTTGATGGTTACAAGGGTGGGGAGGGAGGGAGAGAGGAATTCACTGACTAGATAGTAGACAAGAATTAGGTGAAGGGAAGGACAGCACACACTACAGTGGAAGTCAGCACAACTGGACGAAACCAAAAGCTAAGAAGTTTCCTGAATACAATTAAACACTTTGAGGGACAGAGTCGCGGGGTGGGGGTGGGGGGCGTCTGGGGACCATGCTTTCAGGACATCTAGGTCCATTGGCATAACAAAGTTTATTA